AGTGTTTGTTTTTCAAAAAAAATTCAAATTTGATGGAGAAAATGCAATTTTAAATACCAACACGCCTATTCCGCTAGTAATTTTGTAACTTGGTTTTCTCCACTTTGGAAGCAGCTAGAACAAAAAAATTTTCACTGTTAAATAGGGCATTGTTTACACTATATATACCGCTATTCAAAACAGAAAATTTCGTACCTACGATTTTTTCAGAAAATGCCGCCTAAATGCCCACTGTGTCAAGGACCGTACGAGAACATATGAAATATCGTTGTATGTTCTTACAACTTTACGCCCCAGTTGAGCACAAAATAAAGTACATGTGTTAGAAACGTGACTAAACACGATCCTTGGTCGTTTGAATGTACCAATGCTAGAAAATATCAATAAAGAAAAAAATAGGAGAGATAAGAAGGAATAATAGCAAAAAGCAGTCGTATCAGCTTGGATGTTCAGATGAATTTCTCATAAGATCTTATGAACTCTTATATAGTCTTGTGTCCTATACAAAAGATGATTTTGAGATTATGCATATATGACGGGATTGGTAAGGCGAGAAGTGTGAATCCACCAAAAAAAGGAGTTTCAATTTAATAAAAAAACTTTCTCGATGAAATCGCGTAACGTGTTCCCTTTAAGACTTGTGAAATAAGACAGGCTTTTGCGCAGTCGCGTTTTTGTTGTGCTTGTATGAAAGGTGCTCTCGAATGTATTACCGCGATCACTATTTTCTAGTGATTTTCGTCCACTACTAATAAATGAGTCGCACTCTTCTTATCTCAAACTCGCGATTCGACTATGCAAGATTTATGACGTGATCGCTTATCCTCACTCCCACTCTTATCCAATTCTTTCTCTTATAATTTATGTAATAAAACTTTTATAATTTTTCTTTCCAAGTAAATGAATATCAAGGTTAACATTTGACGATCTAACTAAAACGAATAATTACTGAGACGTAATAAAGCGTTGAAAATTTTTCAAAAGCCGTTAGAAACTACATACTATGAGTCAAGCAAAACAAAGCAGTATATGAGATTTGCCACGAGAGCTCTGTTCAATAGCGCGAGCGCGGCTGGTCGAAAAAACCGCCGGATGGTTTTGAAACTTATTTGAAAATTTTGAAAAATTGTCGTTTTGTGAGTCATAGTTTAGGGCGATCGATGTAAGAAAAATTGTCGCCTCAATCGCGAATTAGAAATTTGCCTGAAAAATAAGAGTTCGACCAAGAAACTTGATTTGGACAGTTTTTCGGTGTTGGGTCAGTTTAGTGAATAGAGCTATCCTTAATTTTAACCATGTTTAAAATGTGATTATACAAATCGCGATTAATATTAATCATGATGAACTCCTGTAAAGATTACGCACTGCATTAATGGTTTCGAAAGAAAGGAGATTGCTTTGTCGGAAATCTCACTTACTACTGTCAATATATATATTCCACATTCTGTTTTGCCTCGTATCTTTTTGAGAAACAACATTAAAAACTATTGTTTTGAGATGAGTATTCTGGCCCATGCGGAAAGAATCTACTGCCCGTTCTAGTCAATAATTCAAAGAAATCCATGAGGAATCGCTTTCAGGACTTTCGGAGGAATTTTATGTGCCCCTGCGGTAGCTTTCGTGAAAAATAGATAATTGAGTGTTTGAGATCCACCTACTGTTATTATTAAGTTAAAAAGAGAAATTTAATACATGCCATTATGTTAATAGCCTTTAGCAGTCATCAATCAATATGCTGATGGTAACTCATTAAGGAAAAAGTTTAGCAAATTTTTTTGAAAAATTAGCATTTCTGATATAACATATAAGGTGACCGAACGAACTGGTAAGAAAAAGTGGCAAGAATCTCCTTTGAAGTTCCATAAAAAACAGTAATCCCTAGAAAGCGTTTGAGGAGCTATGGTATTTCATTAGGTATGAGATGCCGATAAGGCTAAGCAATATGAACCAATATAAGAGTCTAAAATATTGCACTCCACTCCTCATTCCTTCTGGAAACTTTATTACACCCGATTTATTTGTGGCAACTTTAAAGTACTAGTACGAAAAGAAGACTTTTCGCAAATTAATCGAGAACAGTCCATCACTTTTGCATAGTTTGTCACTGTAGAATGTAACTTTTGATCAATTAGACCCTTTTCTCAGTTTTATATAAGGCTTGTCAAAATCATGATTGGCCATCTGTATGGTGATCTTTAATCACTGTCGATTATCGTTAATCATAATTAAAATTAGTCGCGTCCATACCCTTAATCATAATTAACGCTTCTGGATGTGTATAGTGTATGAGTGAATAGAAGAGACACGTCCGCTCAAGACGATGACAGAAGAGGAAATGAAAAAGAATAATTTTTTGGAATACAAATGTCACGTAATAATAATCTCTGGGGAGTAAACAAGAATTCTAACTAATCACTAGACATTACATCTTTAACATATCTATAAGAGTCGTGAGTGGCTGTGTTCTGTTCGATGTTAAATTTTTTATTATACTTTAAAAATTCAATACAGTAAGATAGATAGAAAAGAGAATCCCTGACATAAACCAGTGAGTAAAATTGACAGACTCAGATTGTCTTCTCTTTCTTCATCAGTGTAATCAACGTTATTTATATCGACTATTGTAGACGAATCATATTTTCTAGCACCATCTTAGATCTAACTTTTCAATTGATCTGATCCATTCGATACTTCAGCCTCGTCTAACATAATAATAAAAAATTGAAAACTATTATACAGAAATTGATATCTGCTCTATGATTTTATTACAAATCTCTTCCTGAGTCTGTGTAAGATCATATTTTATTTGTCGTGTATTCTTTCTTTAGGTTGTCGATACGATTTAGACGTGTGTAATGTTTACGAACAATGTTTTGACGGTAAGTTATACATTTACCTTTTCGATTTTCTATATTACGTAGAAGCCTTATTGCTTATTTAGATAGTTTATTTGGACAATGTTTAAGTGGTATCGATGAAGGACAAAATACAAATCTGCTACCATTCGGAAACATTCTAAGTGATGATAAATTAATTGCACTTGATATTACATTTGATTTTCTCAAACGTTATCAGTTGAATTGGAAAGATTATGTCACACAATGTATTCTAATTCGAATATTGAAAAATCAAGATATTCTTGACAAGAATACATTAGATGAATTTTATGTTCAATGTATAAATGAAGATGAAACACTGGACACTATTGTCTCGAATAACGAAAACAACGACGATAATGTTTTATATCTCCCGGTATCGATATCAAACAAATATGAGAATAATCATCGTCGGTATGTTGAAACTGATAATGATCGACCACGTGATGTTGAATTAAACGAATATGATATAGAGCCGTGGCAAGATAATAGAAAAAATCTACGAAAAAGTAAGAGAATTATAACAACTATGGTAGAACCATATGAAATAATTTTCAAATATAGAAATATATTCTGGTTTAGAAATATACTATGGAATGTGGCGTGATCCTTATATCACCAATCAAGCATCTTCAGCCAATTTTATGATTGAAACATTACCGTATCCATCTTTAGAATATAAGAATCGTAAACACAAAGTTAATTTTCAAGATGCAATCTACATGGACGACCCTGTATCTGTTGAAGAACTTTACCGTTCTGAACCAATTGCTGATCAGTCAATTATGAGCGGTATGTGTTTGTGCCAATGTGTAAAAATTATCTTCGTTATATCGTTGTTTTAGAAAATCCACGAAAAATATCACTTGAAATGAAAGAGAAACATCCTGGCCTTATTGTAACGTTACAAGTAAACAATAACAGACAACAATTTCCAGGAAACATAATTAGTCAAGAAACAATGAGTAATAAATGATGTTTTAAACAAAACTTTAATAGACGAATTTCTACCTTTTTTACATATTTTTAGTTGACAAAAATGGTACAAGTGTTAAAGAACAGAGTGTGAACAAAACAAATACGGACAATAATCGATATTATAAAGTTGAAACAGATAAAGGATATATCGCTATCAATAGAGAGTAAGTTAACTGCCATATACTCTCCGTAATAAAATATACCATCTTTTCAATAGTAATTTTCATTTAATAGACTAAAGTCTGTGATCTGTATTCGTTGAATCTCTGAAACTCTTAGGTTATTGTTAAGTTATCTTTGATAATGAAATGGGTGTCTGACACAATCTGTAGAATGTGAAAGTGTTCAAAGAATTATTTCTGATACAAATTACTCTTTGTATTTCGTACGAAACCTCTTGAATACCATGCATTAAAATTTCTTTGTTTCATTTAACTTTTTTTTTCAATTTTTATCTGCAGATTCAAAGATCAAGTAGAAGGTTCAAAGTTATTAGCTTTGATTGCTCAAACCGATGGATGGCCACTATCGATGTTCAACGAAGTGAAGTAATTCTTTTACCATTTCTAAAAAAAATCATCCTGTAGTATATGTTTGTTATTTACATTTTTTTTAGCGTTGATCGAGATGTTGTGACATTTCATTTATTAGACAATCCGTTTCGAGTAAACGCAACAAATGTCGCCAGTTCAGCATGTAAGACTAACGCTTTTTTATTGTTAAAATGAAATAGTAATACTACTCGTTGCTATTTGTACTTCTTGTTACAATCTGTCATCTGTCCTTTTTTGCTTGTAAGTTCCATTACTTACAAGAGCTGGCGATTTTTACCTTGTTTCTTCCATTTAGTTACAGCACACCTGTCTTTTAGAGAAAATTATATGTTTCTGATCGTTGCACATCTTCTCTATATTGTAAAGATTTATCCATTGAAACATGAACTTTTTCTGCTATAATAAACTTTTCTTCAGTTACATAAGATTAATTAATTTGTTGCTTTTCAAATGTTCAAGACCGACTTATCCAAACTTTCAAATATTAAAGATCTTTCATTAACTTTTATTTAGCAATGTAGCAGAATAGATGCAACTTTCGCAGACCAGTACGATCTAAACTCCTGTGAGATAATTTTATCACTCCAACGAAAGTTTTAACGCGTTTGAAAAAAACTAGTAATAGTTAGAGCGCATTCAAAAAATTTTAAGTAACGTGTTAGAACGAGTTAGACATCTCTCCAACATGTGTAAACACGTTCATTTGCACATTCGGCGATTTTGAAAACTAGAAAAGTACGTTAGAACATGTGCGAATAGTCGAACGCATTAAAACGAGGGGAAAAGTGGCAGAAAATTACATTCTAACGTGTTAGAACGCGATGAAATCGGTCAAATCCACTTATTACAATGCGTTCCAAGTTAAAATTCTATCAAACTTGATCTATCTTTCTAACCGCATGGGAACTGTGTCTCGTACACGTTCTAACTCGAGTAAAAAACGGTTGGAACAAGTTGATATGATCAATTTCACGGCGTTGTAAATTGTTCTGAAACCCCGTTCAAGCCCGTTTAGACTTTAACCCGTTCTATCTGTCAGACATTTATTCTCCTATTTCTCCAACTTCATTTTCATTTTCGATTAGTTTTCTTTCGATAGATTCACTTCACGCATGCAACAAAGATGTGGACGTAGTCCAAATTTTTGAAATTGTACTTCATTTTCAACAAAGTTTTGATCATCTGTTTGCGATAATCAAGCAGTCTACGAAGAATTGTATAATCCTATATGCAACTGCATATTGAGTTTTAGTATGGTGTGAAATATTTAAAGTCTGTGATAAATCCTCTGTAAGGTTGGAGGCGGCTCTAACATAGCCCGAGAGAAAAAAAACACAATTTAAACGATGACTCATTATTTTAACCAAAAATTGACAGAATACGCGTTTGAACGAGTTCTACATTCAAATATTTGTAACACGTTCGAACGACTTTGCATTTCAACAAGCTGAAACGCGTGTTAAATGAAATTTTTAAAAAATCACGGATCCTAATGTATTAGTTTTATTCTTGTTTCTTGGAACGAGTAAAAATTTTGTTTTCAGTGCGTTAGAGCTCGTTATTTCATAAATTTTCCTTCGAACGCATTGGAACTTTCGTTCGGATGACAAAATTATCTCATGGGCTCGTTTACTAGATGTAACGATTCTTTTCTTTTGTAAAACTGTCATTTTCACTATTTTCTACGCTTTGTAATCAGTATAGTTGAGATAAATGAGTTTGAATGCTAGAATCTTCACATTTCATGCGCTATTACATGTTAAATAAACAGTTCGATCAATTTCATAACAAAAAAGAGTTGTCTGTTTAGACAAGTGTATGAACATGTTTGAACTCTTTTTACTCTAAAGACAAGCAACAACAAAAACAAAAAAAAGAATGATAATGATAAAGGTCAAATGCTTTTCTATATAATTTCCGTTTGACTGTTTTTCCTGTTCATTTCCTTTTTGGGGACGGACATTTAAAAACTTCCTTGGTAGCATGGTAGTAATGGTAGATACAATTTATTTCGTTCTTTTTTCTTCGACTATTATTAGTAGTATAAACTACAGAAGAGAAAAGAAAAAAAGACGGCATAAATGTAAATTATTCACACTGGTGTTTTCATCTTTTTTTTTAACATTATTGTATTCTTAATTAATCCTCATATTCAAAAATCATGCACTATCTGTACAATCAAATGTTGTTTATATTAAACAAAGAGAGCCAATCTAAAATGATATTGAGTATTGGGACTTGAATGTTAGGCGAGAAGAAGAAGACATAGAACTATCAACAACTTTGTAAGTTTCAGTTGTAGAAAAACTAGAATAAACTATACTCTCATCGATTCAACAGGATGCACGGAAAGTGCATCCTAAATTTAGAATTATGGAGAGCATAGTTTCTAAAAGAAAGGCGTTTTTCAGAAGACTTTTTCTCTTGAAAAGTTTCGAAATGATTTTAATTCTCTAAATCTTATGGTCTTCGAAACTGATTTCGTGATGGGTATAGGGCTCAATTTATATGATATGGTAATGAGAGTAAGGTTTCGTAGAATATTTTGAAACTTGAGATAACTTAGCACAAATTGTTTAGAAATTTTTATACGCAATCCGATCAGCCGTAAATTTTCTGATTAATTCATGTGATTTCATGCGACTTTCACGAAAACTATCTTTTGTTTGGAAACCATTTTAGACTTCGGAAACGATTTCACGAATTACAATCATTCTACAATTCATCAGCAGAAAAAAGTTTCGTAAATGAAACCATTTTTTCTCTGTAAAGTTGAGACGTCAAGAAACAGAAACGCAGCAAAGCACAAAATTATATTTACATAGTCGGTAGAATATAATTCTAGAGTAAACTGCAAGAACTTCTATTAGGGAAATATTCAAAGTTAAATGCTATTCATGATATTATTCTTAGTGAATGAAGTATACTAGTAGTACTGCAAATATAGTATATCGATTACTCACCAGTAGATAAGAATAGAGAACAAAAGAACGAATTTTCAAGATTTCTCAATGATTTCACGCCGCATTGTTTATTTTCCCAACCAGAACAAATAGGGAAAGATTTCAAAAGATTTAAGAAATTTGAAAGATTATACATGTGCAATTTTATGATATCTCATAAGATTTTGTAGAATCTATCGTTCCATTTCTGGAGAATCTTGCAAAATCCTTTCATAGAATCTTACAAATTTTACTGTAAGATCTTATCGTACGAATTTACAAGGATCGACCAAATTTTGTACGATCTTATGTGTTTGAGCTAAATGCGGAATTTAAAATATAGATAAACGTTAAGTTTGAATAAATAATAGTGGAAAGTGATCTTCTAGCTCGAAGAATTTCAAAAATGATATACTTTTAGCTATAGTTTCATTATTCTAATACAAAAAGTGGTATGGTTAACATTATTAAATTAAGCTAAGATAATATTGATGCAAAGTGGGCTCATCCTCCCTTGATAGTAGTTTTGGTGGTTGAAAACAAACCATCCACTTTTAATTTCCTTAAAAGACAGAAAAAGAAACGCTCTAGTATTGCATGTTCAAAAAAAAAAAAACGTTGCATGTCAATTGAAAAAGTTGTCTGACAGTACTATTCTTCTTTTTCCTTTTTGGTGGTATCCAAAGTGAAGTTATCGTCAAAAAAAAAAGGAAGGATATAGTTTCGTTTTTTTGAATTTTGATTGACTTATAATTGATTCTCAATTGTATTTCATACATCTTCAAAATCGACTATATGAAGAGGAATATATCTCATGTCATTTGTTTACCGTCATGAGACAATAAAATAGTTTCTCGTTCAATTCCAGGTTTTCTAGCATTAAAAAGTACATAATTATTCAATTTTCTGTGTCATTTTTGTTTTATTTTTATTTTTTTAATTTTAGTTAGCATACAAAAAGATATTGAAAGACAATTGGGTGTACATGTCGTTGATGCTGGAATCGGAGCTAGTCGAGTAAGTAAAAATAGAAAAAATGAATATACAACAGAATATGTCTTTAATGGTCAGCTTGAGAACAAAGTACATTAGTTAAAAGATAAAATTTTAAAAAGTTATTGAAAATATTGGGTTTTAGATTGTCATTAAGATTTCTTTACTTCAGGTTTTCATCCGATACCTAATAGTTTTAAAAATTCATATACAACCGTGTAAAGCATACGTTATTTAAAGATTGAAGAGATGAGAAATTTGATATATTAATGGAAAATCAACACCCACTCTCATTCGATAATAATCTTTTAGCTAGAATTCCAAATTTTCTCGAAAGTTCTATAATCTCTTGTAACCGGATCTTTTTTACTTTGACATAGTCACGATTCATTTGTTTTCACATTGATAATTTTAGTTTTTTCTAACACATCAATGATATAGAATTTTAGAAGGGCTATCAGCACCGCTAAAATGAGTTAGTTTTCAAGATGGTGGTGATGAGAGATTTTACATTAACCAAACTTTGTAAAATTAGATAATGTGTGGTGTCATGTTATATATCATAAAATGAACTTCTTTTCTTTTGAAGTCTTTCATCTGAAACCTTTTTTATTTTTTATCATGAACATAAAAAAAAAGAAGAAAAATAAGGTGTTTCGTTTTTGTTTTAATTATTCTTGGAAAAAATAGCTATTTATTTGAGATACATATTTTTATAAAAAAAAAAAAAGAAACTTTATCTGTAAAAATATGAATATACACCGATGTTCCTTTTTCATCATCAACATCTTATCCTTATCCTTGAGACAAGAGAATACTCATGTATGAGAAAGATAGAAGAGGATATTTCTAGCTAGTATTTGATTGCAATTAGAAGACGCCTTGAGGGGTTAAAGATACTTGACTCAAATAACACGCTGACTTTGAAGTAGAATATACTTGTGTTGTATTCTTCATATATGTAAAATATATCAAGAAAGAGATCACAGTGATTACATATAAATATTTTATAGACAATGTGAACAATAAATCTTTCAATCATGAAAACAATATAGTTTTGTGTAACAAAAAGGAAGAAATATTTTAGTTTCTCTTCTCAATATTTTATTGAGAAGATATTTCTACTTCAAACTATTTCATCTTCGTTATGACATAGTAAGAATTCAATTCAAGCATAGATATATATATATATACAATAGTGCCAGTAGTCATAAATTTGTTTATTTCTTGTGTGATATTTCTTATCCGATTAAATCGTTTCTTATCTCGTCTAGTAGACAAAATTATGCAGCTTTTTTCGATATTTCTAATTTTCATTGGTCTTTCTAATCTAACTTTTTGCATAAGGAAAATATTTATTTTTCCTACGGGAAAAATGTGCCATTGTAGCGTTGAATTATAAAATATGTCGACTTGAAGTAAGTAGACTACTCAAATTGATAATTCAATAAGATTTTTTCTCATTTATTTTTTTTGAAACTGAACTCTAATTATATTATAGTCTAATATTTTTGAAAATTAATTACTCTTCTATTCAATCTGTTTTCTTCTCTTTTAAAAATAGAAAACAAAATAAAAAATACATGAAAATGAATTTTTTGATTGAACTAAATTCAAATTCTGTTAAATGTTTGATAATCATGAAACAATAAAATGAATTTCAACCATTTAAACATACAATAGTCTCGTTCTAAAGATAGAAAATTACCTCCTGGCTTTTTCATTATTATGTATTATCTACTACCGATATTTTTCTCTCTCTGTCTCTCTCTCTTTGTTTTGGATTTTTATCTTCATACAACAACAAAACAAAAAAAAGAAAACTTTTTCTTTATAATTGTCAAGAAGATTGAACATATATTGTGCCATCTATTTAACTCACGCAAATTTATGCATAATTGATAATTCGTATGATAAAGAAAAAAAGAAAAAAGAGAGAAAAAGAAGATGAAGAAAAATATAAAAGAACTTGCGTTGGATTCTTAGTAGTACGTATTCGCTAGTCGTTCGATTAGTTTTTACAGGCGTAGTAACGCAATATGACGTTTTTTAGAACAAGACAGTATATGTAATTATAAGACACCTTTTAAAAGACAAATATATAGATATTTTTTCTGTATAATACTGTTATGAGAAAAAATAAAATAAAATAAATGCTTGTGCACAACTAAGAGAGAAGAAGAAGAAGAAGAAGAAAAAAAAATGCATTTTTCTTTTTATTTTTAATGTTGTGGAATATGAACAGGGAAGGGGAGTTGCTGTTAAAGAATAGAATTTTTTGTTTTTTTATTCTTTCTCTCTTTTTTTTCTTTTTGTGCGCGTCTCTCTCTCTCTCTATATATATGCGCTCTTAATATTAATGAATGTAGCTGATGAAAATACACATATGGTATATAATAATGAAATGAATAATATACCAAATGAAGATAGAGGAAAATTATCTTCATTGAATATTCAAATTGTGTATAGTGTGATGTGTGAAAGAGAGAAGTTGAGAAAAAATATCTATCTATATCGACGTATGCATATGTTCAAAAAAAAAATAGAATAAAACACAATATTAAGATTATTTTTTAACAATTTTATACCTTTTTTCTTTCTAAAGTAACTTTATTATTAAAAATATATTAGGGACAAAAGAATTATTAAATAAATATCATATTTAAATGATTCTGAGAAAAAGATATTTTTAAAACTGTTAAAAATAGTCAAGTTTCAAGAACTAAATATCTACAACTGGTTATGTTTATTATTTTTTGTTAATATTCGTTTTGTTTATAAAACAAAATAGGGTCGTCAATTACCCATCGAACGTGAAAATGGATCAAAAATTGTTTCAGTTACGATTGTCATTTGTCTATTGGTGGCATTTACGATGGCAGCAATTGGAATATTATTTTTTATTAAACGAAATGTTCGAATACGAGATAAATTGGCTGAAATTACACATATCAAAGGTTTTTCAACGAAAGATTATCAAGTAAATATTTAATCAATAATTACAGAATTAATTTGAATGATAAAATCATCCTCTCTCTCTCTTTCTCTTTAAAGGATTTATGTCGTCAACGAATGCAAAATCAACCGCAAGCAAAAATGCCTGACATTCACAATATTTCATCACAAACCAATACATCACAGACAAATACTACAAGTGTAAATATTAAAAGTAATAGTGAAGGATCATCGAATCGAAGTTCGACATCATCATGGTAAGTGAATTTGTTACATATATATATATATGTATTTAAAAGAGAATTTTATGTAGAATAAGTTTTAATGTCTTATTTTTTACGCCTTGTTTTATCAGGAGTGAAGAACCACTTCCAACAACTAATATGGATATAATGACTGGCCATCTTATCTTGGTAATATATTAAAATTTATAAAATTTTTGATTTCTATGACAATGTATGATCTATTTGTATAGAGCTATATGGAAGATCATCTTCAAAATCGTAATCGTTTGGAAGCTGAATGGCAAGAATTATGTAATTATGAGAATGATCAAGGAACATTTATAACTGCATTATCAGACATGAACACAAATAAAAATCGTTACATTGACATATTGCCATGTAAGTGCTATTTTATATTATTAAACAAACTATTATCTCTCTTGACTCACTCTGTCAAATGACACATGTCAATTATTTCAACTCTTTTTCTTTTTTGTATCTGTCTCATTCTAAAACAATGCTATTAACATTAATATTGCCTTTCCTGTGAAATATTACCATAAAAAAATATAATCGATTTCTAATTGATCAGATTTTTAACTAGTCTACAAAAAAAAAAAAAAAAATTGACATGATCTTTTGCATTTCGTTATTTTTAATTAATTTCTACATTATTTGTTTGTTTTTTTCTGATTTAATTCACATTTTGTTTGTGAATCTTAAGTTTAACTTCAATTTTCTTTAGTCTACGTATACGATATACGTAAGAGAAAAAGAGAAAGATGAAGAGATGTGTAAAATTTATCAAATGTTTTGAGTTATTATTCTATTTCTTGAGTTGGTTAAGAGTTTTTAAGAATAACGAGTATTGTGTCGGTCGTTGAATAATACATTGAAGTGACTTATTTAAGAATACTCTAGATTTTTTTTGTACTCAAAAAAAAAAAAACACCAAAGTCATTCTATTGAAAACAAAAAATTTATCAAAAGTAATAAGATTCTTTTGTATTTTAAAAATCAGTGGAAGATCTCGAATTGTTTGTTCGCTTAATTAGTACAGGAAATTGAACATAAGGAATAAACGTGTTTTAAAAAAAAAAAAGAAAAGAAAATATTTTATGTCGAATAGATTAAAATTTGGAAAAAAGAAAATAGATTCAACCAATGATAGAGATAGAATTAAATAGTTATGATATTCGAGTAGGTTTTCTATTTATGTATCATAAGAAAATGTCAAATTATTTAACACACCATTTTTTTTTTCTTTTTGTGAAACAAAAAAAAATGTCAAAAGGGTCAAATACTAAAAGTATACTTAAAAAAGTTATTAATTTATTCATTATGATAAAAAAAAAAAAAAAAATTTATGATTAAAGAAAAAATTTAAAAGAGGACGTTAACTTTTAAAAAAGAATAGAATAAGGATGCATTTTTTTTTTTTTTTTCTTTCAAAAAAAAACTTAAATATAAAAAATGTTATCCATATCATTTTATTTATAAGTGTGATGTGATGTATTATTTTTTCAATATCAAATCATTTGATTTAAACTACTCAGATAATGACTGTCAGTAAAATGATTAATTGTCACTGATTAATCTCAAATAAGGCGTTAAAATGTTTCCCTAGACAATAATAACTATACGACAAAAAGAAATATTTTATTCTATGGTATTGTACGACGTAAGTGTAAATTACATCAAGACAAAAAAAAAAAAAAAGTACTGCTACGGAAGAATTTTATTTTAATCAAAACGACACTTTTTCCGAGAAACGTCATCGTTAATTTTTTTCTACAGCATCATCATTTAATATTTTTTTTTTTTTTTTTTTTTTCTTCACGTTTAAAAAGAAATAATTTAGGTGTTGTACAGGAACACTTTTTTCATTTATTCTATTCTTTATTTAACATGTACATTTCAATGTGATAGATGTCTACTCATTTTACGTCTCTTCTATTTATGAATCATATTCTTTACGGTTGCTTTATGTATCATTAATTTGTCTCTCTATTTTAAGATGATCATTCAAGAGTTTTATTAACAAATAATTTAGATAAAGAAAATAACGATTACATAAATGCAAGTCCAATTGTAAGTAAAATTATTGATTTTCTTTTATTCTATTTATCATAGTCTTTTTCTCATGTATAGACTGATTCGGATCCAAAATGCAAATATATAGCTACTCAAGGTAAATATTTTTATTCATAAATAAATCAAAAATTACTTAAAAAAATAATTTATATTTGTTTCATTTATCAGGTCCTTTACCGCATACAACAAATGCATTCTGGCAAATGGTTTGGGAAAATGGAAGTTCGGTTATTGTAGCATTAACACGACCTATTGAAGATGGTGTTACAATGAGTCATCATTATTGGCCAGTAGCTGGAAGTGAAAGATTTACAGATTTTGAAGTAATTATTTTAATTTTTAATAAAATAATTTTCTATATTTATTTTAAAATATATATATAGGTTAATCTTGTATCAGAACATATTTGGTGTGATGATTATCTTGTTCGAAGTTTTTATCTTAAAAATGTTCAAACAATGGATACACGTACAGTTACACAATTTCATTTTCTAACATGGTCAGAATTAGGCACACCACCATCAGCAAAATCATTACTCGATTTTAGAAGGTAAGCATCAGATGTTTTTTCAATGATCTGTTTTCCAAGCAAAAATCTAGATACATCTGTATGTGCAACTAGCAATCGAACGATACATCGATAGTTGAAAACTGAGAAGATACATCTAGGAATCGCCCGTCTACTAGATATCTACTGTCATTATCAAAGAACTGTAACCGAGTAAAAATTTAGTTATCTAATTGAATTTATTTAGTATTTGGAATTGATTAGACATTAATTATGAAATAGATATAGCACAATTATAAATTTGAACTAAATTATAAAGACTAGTAGCATATGGTTTTTTTATATTGATCATGTCTAAAATTGTTTACTGATAAAATGAAAAAAGTGCGAGAACAATATAATTTCAATAAGAATAGGTTATTTTGAATTAGATATACAAGTCTATACTTCTCCCGTCTCAACAGTTCATTCTAGATTCTATAGAAAATAATGAAAGAAAATTGAGTGCGTGCGCACATATCAATGTTCAAATTATTTTTGGAAAAATGAGTTATTATTCTGCAAGCTATTTTTTTTGAATCGAAAAAAAAAAAAAAAAAAAAAAAAAAATTTTTTTTTTATAATTTTTTTTTTTGTTTTTTTTTTTTTTTTTTTTTTTTTAAAATTTTTAAAAAAATTATAAATTATGATGTGTTTTTTTTTG